GGAATACCAGATATAGAATATGACCTTCCTCATGGCAGCATGACTGAGGGTTCAAATCATCAAGTCACAGTGAAGAAAAAAATAAATAAACAAGAGCAGAACACACTCTTTTTTTTTTTGTTTTTCAAAAAGTGTCCCTTTAATAACAGCTGCTGTTTTCCGTCCCAAATAGGAGTCATGAGACCTTCAGTGTTCTGAAGACGTTCCTGCATACTCCACATGCTTTTGTAAACACCAGGGTGAAAAAGGAGTGTTTTATCAACATGCTGTTTATGCTTTCTGTTTCATTCTACTGATGTTATGCAACCAATAGCTGAGCTGGTCAAATACATCCCCCTCAGACCGTCACTCCCACCCTGCCTCCCCCAGGGCTGATAAGGCCTGTTTACGACCTGGGGCGACACAGAACAAGGGAGGATTACACGTGACTCTTGTAGCAGTTATTGAGTTTTCTCCCTGTTGGCAGACGCTAAGCTTATTCCAGCTCATCAATTATCTTTCTGTGGGGTCCCTGATTTATAATGATGGAGACAGTTGTGCCAACATAGACAAGAGTCTTGTTTTTTGTCAAAGCAGACCCCTGAAGGTTACTCCACAGCAGCGTTCCGTCTCTTACATTGTCTGCTTTTTTATTGTTTCTTCTAAATAGTCAGGAAACCCCTCGAATATAATCTTTCCTTCCTCCCAAGAGGGACAAAAAATGTTGTTTTTAAACTTTAGAACAACAACAATAAAAACCAAGGTTGGAAAATAAACAGCAGAGATTTTAAATTGTGATTTTGGTGGGAAAGTGTATATATCTATGTGGATACTGGATCCATTAGTATAATAACAACTATTTCCTTATCCCGGGGGTTTTTGCAGGAAAAACACTCAGTCCCCCATGTCCCTAAAACACACCCTCAGTTCCATTTAGTGGCACAGGCAATTTGATCCAGGCCTGAGGAGTGAATCTTAAACTGAAAACCCCCCAACCCCGAATTCCCCCAGAACCTTGTCTTCCCTCAGAACGTCACACATGCCTATAAGATTTGTATCAGCAGAAATTACTGCTGACGTGTCCTCTCAACACTCCAGAGGGTCTTCGGTCCAATGGGACAGATGGAACTTCAAAAGCAGCTTTGTGGAGGATAGAAAACTTTTTTTAACCAATGGGAAATGGAACATTAAAGCTAAGTGGTTGTGCCAGAAAGTGACACACAGTCTGTTTAGATTAGTTTTGCTCGCTCTTGTGTAACAAAGTCTTTAGAGACATTTAGATATTTAACAACAAAGACTCTGGACTCTGATAAATTGCTTTTAGCAGAGTTTTAGGAATGTTGATTTGTAGAGGATGGATGGATGGATGGATGGATGGATGGATGGATGGGTGGATGGATAGATGGTTAGTTGGGTGGATGGATGCAGGATGGATGAATAGATGGTTGGGCGAATGGATAGGTGGATGGTTGGTTTATGGTTGGACGGATGGTTGCATGGATGGATGGTTGGATGGATGGACGGTCGGAACTGTTTATAGATAGTTATTCCAGTGTCTCTAATGATATTTTTAACTGTTTTACGACTCTTTTCAACATATGTTTGTTTTTTGTGAATTTATTTGAAAGTCTTAATTAAACTTCTGTTCAGTTGTTGACGCTTGGACACGTGATCATTTTATATATGCTTTGTCAACATGAAAGGTTTGTGTTCCCAGGTCTAAGACTTCTTTTTTTTCCCTGATGTTTCTCAGGGTGAAAACTAACCCTATTGTCAATTCTTGTGAAATCAACGAAACATTTTTTGACACACTATGTGGCATTTTAAAAATGTAACGTGGGAATATTTCTTTTATCTGTCAGTCCATCTCGGGCTGAACATATATGTTTCACTGTGTCTGAATTTGCAGAACAGTTTGCATGCGAGCAGTGAAGCATCTGTGTTTTCTCACCCTGCAGTCAGCGGCGAAGGAGAGGTCACGCTGATTAGATAAGTGTTGTATATGCACAGGAGCCTGCTGGGCTCAAGTCAGGGCTCTGACCTTTGACCCAGACTTCTTATACAACCATGAGACTTTGGTGTACCAGCAGGCTCGTGTCCTTGACATCAAGCAACAACAAATGTGATCAGATGAAGGCAAAAGCATCAGAGATAATAAAATATCTTTGTATTTTTCTCGACTTTAATCAAGGTAAAATGAAAAAAAAAAAAAAAAAAAAAGCAATTAAATCTTTCTCCACTAGTCTTAAAAAACATGTTAGCCTTTCACCTTTGACCTAGATTATAAAAAGTCCCTACTAACTGAAAAGTAAAATCAAAACAAAAACCTGAATCTGTGCCCACAACGGGGCAGCTGTAGAATCTGTTGTCGTCCACGTCAGTTGTGTCTCAGATCAGCCACAAACATGTTTCGGTCTGTGGTGTCTGCTGACACTCTGGCCAGATTGAAGCTGAAGCTCAGAAGACTCTAAGGCCTTCATCCTGTGGCTCAGTGTCAGATCATACTTGTTTGTTTTCACAACAGGCCCCGAGTCTTAGCTGCTCACATGGCCTCAGATCCAGTGTTATAGGTGGGACAGGAACAAAGCGCCGCTCACTGACTTACAGGTTACGTCAATAAAAGTCAGAGCAGCATGTGCTTTCTGTTACTCACACCCAAACTAAATGTGCCTGTGCTGAGTCCTCAGGGGTATAATGCTGACTTTGGGCTGTTTCTTTCTTTCTTTCTTTCTTCGTTTTTCCTTCCGCTTTTATTTATCTTCTGACTCTCAAGCTAGTGACCAGCTAACCAATAACATTAGCTTGTCTAAACTTCAGTTGTTTGTATAAAATGTATGTTAAAATCATTTCTGCGCTAATTGGTTATTCTCTGTTTTTAAAAACTATATTCAGCTTTGTTATCTTTAAAAAATATTACAATTTAAATAATAATAATTGATTTTTTTTTAATTTAATACAAAATAAATGTAACTTTCCTAATTGATCTAGCTACCAAATAGCTGTCCTTTTTGTTATTTTATTAATTGCTTATATTATTTTATATCTCTTACAACTCACACACGTTATGAGTTAATAATAATGAATGTTATTTATTTTGGAAAACCTTTTTTAACTAACAGACTCACTCTCTCTATCTCTGTATTACACAAAACATGGCAGGAAAACAGGAAGAAAAACAGCCTTAGAGTTAGTCTGCAAATTGCTAAATGTTAGCTATAGCTATTTTGTGACACTTTCGTAATTCATAGTAGAGTAGTTATCATTGTGGTAATAAATACGTCCCAAGATAACTGAAAAGTCGTCAAAAAATAAAAACAAAAAGTGTCTTAAAGTTTCTCCAAATAACAAAGTTTTGTTTGTTTTTTTGGCTTTTGGCTGTAAACATATATCATGTTTTCGCCTAATTGTGTGAGTGATTGTTTTTAAGACCTGACAGTATGGTTGTTGGAATGTTTTGTTGATGGAAAGCATCCTGTTTTACTGAGCAGCTGAACTCTTTGTCCTGTTCTGGCGTAGAGAAGAGCAGCTTTGTCAGTTCATAAAAACATGCCCTGTGTCCTTGTGGAGGAGAAAAAACTGAACGATAAAGTGGAATTCCTCTCGGGGTTAAGTCAAACTTGGAGGAGGCTGCACTGTTTCAGCTGCAGTCTGATAGCTTACTCTCCGACTGTGTTGGACCAATCACTGCTAGATGAATCTGTACAAATGAACACACACTGAGCTTCATTATTTCATGTGCACAGCACGTTCCTCTGTGTTCCATTAAAAAAAAAAACTTCCTCTTCTCCATCAGTGGTTACCACACAGGAAGCTGGCAGACAGGCGCCATCAGACTTCCACTTCTTTAACTACTTTTTGCATAAAAACAAGGTGGACACGTTTGGCCACAGAATAAAAGGTCTCCAGACTTCACTGTCATCTACGGCTCCTTAGAATAAAAGCTGGAACAAGTGGCCTTATTTGCACTGACACTTTAAATAAACATCGTATGATAACATGTAATTTTCAACTTATTTATAGAGTGTGTTGTGTCAACACTTGACACGAATGACATCCTAGTTAAAGAGAAGTGCTTCCTTTAAACAACTGTGAATCCAGCGTCAGTGTGGTCGTGGAGGTTTACGATTATTTTTAAGCTTTTATTTAATGTTATTTATTCATTCATTCATTTACTCCTGTGATTACTGCATTGTGAATCAGTTCTGGCGCAATGTAAGATTACGTAGGCGTGGTTTGGCTAACAATTAGCGGTATGGTAGCTTTTATTTACTTTCAGCTAAGCTACCACTTATCTATGGAACTGTCTTATTTTTATGCCAACCTGAGGATAATTCCAGCTTGTTTTAGTCAACTTTAGATGAGGTCATTTGGTTTTGCAGTTATTGTAGCTGCTCTTATGCTACCTTTTGCTTTTATGACTATTAATTGTTCATGTTGTTATTATTGCTAGTTGTTTACTTGTCTATATTTCAACTTTGAGGTTTTGTGTTGATCTTTTTTCATAATTATCATTCAGATATTTTCCCTATATTTTTATGCCAACCTATTTCTGGTATCATTAGTTTAGCTTTAGCCAACTTTAGCTGATGTGCTAACTTGTAATTTACTTATAGCCAAGGTTATTTTTATTTATTTATAGTCTGTTTAACATTTGCAATGTTTTTCTCTGAACAATAACCGAAGGGTGAGTTTGGACCGGGTAAAACTTATAGCAGATTGTTTTTTAGTGCCCAGCGAGTGAAAACAATGGATTACTAGCATTTAAAATTAGCAAGCGTTGCTGTTCTCAAACATAAACATTCCTTGTGTTTTCTAGATTATTATACACGCCTCAGGGTCGGTTTGGACTACATTCACCACCAATTAAAGAAAAACAAAACGTAGGTAAATCTGCTGTACACCACCTAATTACAGTCTTATCTGACACAAAAGGGGCAATTTAGGCCACTGTGTTATTTTTTTTTTTTACATCACCATACACGCTCCCACACACCTCTGATTTAAGAAGAGAGAGGTTTTCATTGGTTTTAGACAGTACATGACTTTTATTCATCACTGTGTTGTGAGTGCAGTATCTGGAATTCCATGTCAGTGCATTAAATAGCAATTAACTTGTAACATTTACAGTAAAATGCCAGGAGGAGGACAATAAAAGGCACTCATGTGACCCTTTTTATTTGACCTCACAACAGAGAGCCCTACACAAAACATCCTTCTTACCTTAACATTAACTTAATAGAGCTACTCTAAAGTTAGCACCACCTTTTACCACAGAAATGTCCACATACACAGGCACATGCTGCATCATTAGTGTCCAGCCATCACATTCCCTTCCAGGTCAGTGGCAGAGTCTTTGTGCTTCTTAACACAATTTCCACAGGAAAGGGGGCAGAAAAATCAATAAGAAGCAATAAATAGAGTGAGAAATCCACAGATGAGAACAAAGGGCTGCAGTAATGTGTGGCGATAATACTCTGTCTGCGACAGCTCCAGACACTTGTCCTGAGACGAAGACCCACATCAGACTTTAATACTTCTTTGGCATGTGCTTTAGAAAGCACTGGCAAAAAATACCATTCAGGCAGGGGTTTGTTTTAATTTGCTGTGGTAAAAATACATTTAAAACCCGAGTGTGAAAACCGCCGTCATAGTCAAACTGATGATTCATTGTGGAAGACTTTAGCTTTCAGGTTCCTCAGATTAAACTGTAGGTTAGAAGTGGTTTCTGACTGGAGGGCATCGGAGAACTTGACATCATACGTTCGGCCAATCTGAGACTTCCTCTTGATGGAGTTCTGGATGGTCTCTGACGTGAAGTAGTAAACAATGGGATCGAAGCAGCAGTTGGACACCGCGATGCACAGGGCTATTGGGTAGATGGTCCGAACGACAGACTCCACCGAGCAGCCCTTTAAAGTCTTGGTGCGAACCAGAGAATAGAAAATCAGGTTGACATTGTAGGGGATGAAGCAGAAGCAGAAGATGAAGAGGTGGACAATAATCATGCGCAGGATCTTGGTTTTATTCAGTTTCCCTCCGTGACTGATGGCCTGGGGTCTCCTGAGAGTCTGCAGCACCATGATAGAGCAACAGAGGTTGAGGAGCAGTGGAATGATGAAGCCCACAGTTTCGATGAATATCACCACCTTGGACAGGTGCGATTTCCACTGTTTGGAGGAAAAGTTTTCAAAGCAAAAGGTAGCGTTTGATTGGCTGTTCTGCTGGGACGTGGTCTGCAGCAGAAATCCCGTGGGGAGGCTCCCTGACAGAACGAGAACCCAAACCGCCGTGCACACGATACGAGCATTGCGTTTAGTCCTAAGTGTCCTGGAGCGAAAAGGGTGCACGATGGCCAAGAAGCGGTCCACGCTGATACAGGTGAGAAACAAAATGCTGCCGTACATGTTGGTGTAGAACAAGGAGACGGAGACCTTGCACAGCATGCTGCCAAAGGGCCAGTTCTGATTGATGAAGTAGAAGACCCGCAGAGGCAGAGTGAAGACGAAGAGCAGGTCGGACACCACCAGGTTCATCATGTAGGTGGTGGTCTCGTTCCTCAGCTTCAGGCTGCAGGTGAAGATGTAAATGGCCACCACGTTGGTGATGAGACCCACCACAAACACGATGCTGAAGACAGTGCTGTACAGAGGGTACTTGAACCCATCGTTCTTGGTGCAGTTGGGGCTGCTGTTGGCTGAGATGTTTCCAGCCCAGGGTGGGTCAAAGGTGTTAGCGGAGAGCGTAGCGTTGTACATTCTGAAGACAGAGAAACAACTGGAGTCTGTTACAATGAAAAGGACGCTCCACAAAACAAATCCACCGTGAATGAAGCGGAGAGATTCAAACTCTTATCACAGGACGGACCGAAGCAGCCTCTGGCCATTAGCAAAGATTTCTGTCCATGCTGCATCACACTAACGTGATTTCCTTCCCTTGTTGAGATGTTATTTTGGAGGGGGGGATAGCCCCAGGTTGAAAAGACCCCTCCCCAGAGGATAGAGGTTAGAGATTCAGGCTGTTACATCCTCCCATCCCCCTGCACTATCTCTGCACGAGGCTTTACCCCACAAGCTGAGAAGTGAACCTTTACTTACTCAGATAAATCAGTCAAACAAATGTGTCTCCCAGGCCGCTGTGTGAATCAAACACTCTGTAGTTTTCTTCTTACGGCATTATTCCTTTCAAATTTAGTCCTGAGGTTTCTGTCCCTCTGCGGCTCCACAGCAGCAAACTTGTCCTGACTTTCCCACGTCTCACTCTGCTCCACAGCCACAAACACTGGTCTTCACACCAGGAGCCAACGGGGAGTGAAACTCCTGTTCCACTAACTTTCAGTTGGTCTTGGGGGTCTCTCCTCTGTTCTTCTTCTCTGTTCCTCTTCCTCCAGACTGAGTTCCTTCAAATTCTGCTGCTCCCTGTTTCACCCTGTGACAGCCTCAGGGCCCGAGACTCAGCACACATCCTGCTCAGACACCGTTCTTTATCCATTGTGACTCAACTGCAGACAACTCTCGTGCTTTGAGTGGAGAGCAGCTGTATTAACTCCTCCTCCTCTCCAGCTCCTCCTACTCCTTTGTCTGCACACAGTTGACAAATCAAAAGGACTGCTTTAAGAGGGAACTCTTCATCCTTTCCTCGAGCTTCACAGTGTGTTCACACCAGCAAACTGCACGACAACGCTTTTGCTGAATGATTTTAACAGAAATTCACATTTCAGACAGCACTCACTTTTTTTTGGCTGCATGGCTAGGAAGAGGGTGTGAGGGGAAATCTATTGGGTTGCATTGGTGTGACATTGTGCTTATAAAGCTGCTGACATCCAAAACACATGTACATTTTACCAACAAAATAGTTTTTAGTTTATAAAACATCCTAAGGTTTAAAGCAGACACTGCTCTGTTCACAGAAGAATTATTTGAATTATTTGAATTATTTGAAGCTGCTGAATGAAGCACAAAAAAGGGCCAGTGACAGTGAAAGACATAAAAATGTCAAAATGAAGTTAAATTTCTTACTTCATAAAATTTCTGAAAATGAAATACAAAAATATTTAATAAAATAAAACATCTCTAAAAACAGATTAAACTATAGAAAATGTATTTAAATTGTTATTATTCCTACATAACACCTTGCACTTGCTAAGTGCTAAAATAAAAAAAATAAAAAAAAGATAAAGGAAAATTAATTTAAAAAATAACTTTTAAGTTAGAAAAAAAATACTCCAGAAGTAATCTAAACAGTACATAATAATTGTACAAATAGCCATCATTAAGAGCTGAGACTGTATTAACAACAACAGTTTGGGGTTTTTTATATTAGTGCTAAAAATGTGCAGATGGACGGATTAGGATTATTGGATATTTTAAACTGTCATTGTACTCGCAGTAATAAACTGTCCTTTAAATTTTCTCAAGCTTCATCTAGACTAACTTGCCCCAAGGCAGGGGTTAGTCGGTGATGCCTTTACTGTGCTGGGAAAAATCTTGTATTGTCACATACTTTGTACAAATTAAATGTTGAATTTCATGCCTCGAGCCAATATCTTATGATGTCATTCTTAAATGGAACACTGGGCGGCTGCCAGACAGATTTTCCTAATAATCACACACCGATAAATGACAGGTTAGCATAGCCGTTTAACAAGAGAGAGAGAGGTTTAAATTAGCTTCATGAGACAACCTTATGTTAGCTCACGCCATTAGTTTGTTAGTCTGTGTTGTTGCTTCTCCACATGGTTACATTTGAACCGATGGAGATGAAAACAGGTTAAATCTATTTGATTATTGTGGTTCAATGTGTTAAAAAATCCTTGAATAAAAAGTGCCTGAAACGGTGGCTAAAACCCTGCAGTGGCCTCCTGACTGTGGGCCCTGCCAGAGTCCCAGGGCTTCAGTCTGAAATGGTAACAGTGGAAATGAGACCGAACAGATGAGTTCTTCTGTTCAGTGGCTCCTCGGTTGCCCTCGTCAGTCCAAACCCACAAGGTTTCTCCTCTCAACACCCTGTGAAAGTGGCATTCATCTTCTCCCTCTAAAGAAGAGCGCCTGCTACTTGGCAGTCAGTTAAAAAACAAAAAACTTGAAAAAGAAAAGAAAAGACTGAACCTTTTGTTGCATTTGAGAACTGGTTTAAAGGGTAGGAATTTTAAATCATCGCTGACAAGTAGAAAGCATCGTCTGCAGTGATGAATGAGTGCAGAAATTTGACTGAACTTCACGTCGGGTGGTTGTTCTCAGGCCTGAATAACAAATTAAAGAAACTTCTGCAACGTCAGAACACAAGTCAGCATCTGTAGGAATCTAAAATATTGAACTTGTGAACTGCTGCCTCAAAATAGATCCTGTTTTTGTAAAATAATTTTATTTTTATTGATTTGGTGTCAGTGCTAACTTTTTTATGTATATGTCTTTTAGCATGACCCATGAGCCAGTCCAAACTGGCTGTGGTCTACTTGTATTTAGTGAAGAGGAAGTGGTTAGAGGAGGAGGGGTCAGCGCCTTAATGTACTTTAGGAAGATCACTGGTGCGGTCACCGATGGTAACTGATGGTCTTTCTGTGTGATTTGTTTCTGGTCTTACCGTGTGTGTGTTTGTTACTGGTCTTAATGCCTTCTACAGACCAAACACATTCAGGCCTGGGTTAGACATGACATGAACGACACTCAAGATTGACAGCACGTCTTAGTCTGAGTGTAAGTGGCTGTTTGTTTTTATACAGTGTATGTGGCCTGTGACGAACCGCTGAACAGTTTGGGACACACCCCGCCGTACCCTTGTCTGTTACTTGGATTGGATTTAGGCCCAATTTAGGATTGAGTTTGAATCTTTAATAATTAATTCAGATGACTGAACCAATAAACGAGACTTTGAACCCTCAGATGTTTTGTCTGAAATAGTTTTTACGACTGTATGTGTATGTATCAGTATCAGAGTAGCTGGGGTAAAACATTTACATATTGTGTTTTCTAAGTAGCTGGTGTAAAACATTTACATATTGTGTTTTCTACGCAGGATCTCACATTTATTTCTTAAATGCTACATAAACTGTGGACCCATGGTAGGTTCCAACAATACTCTCCAAAGTTCCAGTAACTGTTCCAGTAATGCGTGTGAGGTGTGTTATACCTTGGTAAAATGACACTAATCTTAGGAATGTGAGTTCACGGAGTTACCCCGAAATACCCAAACAAATAAAGGAAAACTGTGCATAGAATCTTAGACAGTGGATGTTTTGGCTCAGTTGTGTTTTGCCTCACATTGTCGAAGCACCGCAAAATAAACAGCCCGAATGCTTGAAGTGAAGCACTGGAATGACAGAGAAGTCTGTACCATTGTCTTCTGCTGTCAAACTATTTGAAAGCAGCTCATGAAAACAAGCACTTCACATGCAACTATGTGAAATCCCTGGGCTCTGTAACTTCTCACAATGGCAGGAAATCGTCTGGCATCCCTAAGGCCAAAACACAGGGTTTTCAAATAAAGTGAAGGTGACATCACGCGCGCTTGTGTAATGACAGCAGGGCTTAAAAACATAGTGATGACTCAACCTTTAGAAACCCGTTGAAACACGCCAAACATATGTGAAAACTATCTGTGCAATCTGTTTGACTGACGCAACAGCTTCAATTTTACAACTGATTTTTTGTCTTAACGTGCTTAAGTTCTACAGTGGAAATTCCGACATTTCTGTACTGAACGCACCGTTAGTTGTAGCACACATGGCAAAAACGTGGAGTCAGAGACAGTCGACCCAAAAAATTTAAATGATTTAAAAACGGTGATGTTACACAGAGGTTGTCATCCTTCAGAAACTGACCAAAATGAATTCAAACTAATCAGAAAGAGAGTGCCACTTTCAGGTCAGAGCTACTTCCTCCCTACATGTGAGATCAATCTCCCTCCCTTCACATGTCCGGGCCGCAGGCAAAGGTTGCTTCACAGAAGCCTTTTCTAATGAAAAGAAACATCCAAGTCTGGCCCGCATTTACACAGGCTTCAACAAGTCTCCTAAAGCATGTAGGAAAATGTGTTAAGGTCTGACAGAACCGTGTTTTGGGCCCAAATCCTTAAAGCTACAGTAGACAAGAGTCCCCTGCAATATAATCCACAGGATTATTCAAAATGATTATTCCAAACTTTTGAAAGTATTCTGAAAGCATTTGGTCCTGTGAACTTCAGTCTCTGTAAGTTCTTGTCTTTCTTTCCTTTCTGTTGAAGGACAAGATACACAGAAGTACCCAATGTTTATTATTTTATTTTATTTTATTTTATTTTATTTTATTTTATTTTATTTTATTTTATTTTATTTTATTTTATTTTATTTTATTTTATTTTATTTTATTTTATTTTATTTTATTTTATTTTATTTTATTTTATTTTATTTTATTTTATTTTATTTTATTTTATTTTATTTTATTTTATTTTATTTTATTTTATTTTATTTTATTTTATTTTATTCTAGTATGACCCAGTTTAAATGTTTAGAAGTCTATCATAAAATGTACCTTCGGAACAAGCAGTTGAACCTAGGGTTCATACACGAAGCACCTTGTACCTTACATCCGATGAGTCACTGGTTGATCGGGAGGATGAACTAAGACTTCCCTGTGTGGGAGTGTCACTTTACACCTTCAACAAGTTGCAACAAAAATGTCAATTGTGTTCCATGTTGGTTAACCACTGCGGGTTAACTTTCCTGTAGCATTTTTTTTCTTCAAATTGTGTTAAAAAACAATTGTTAAAAACAGCATTTATTTAGGCCTAACATCTCACACTCCTAGCACATAAAATACCACTGCCTTCCTATCAGTCGGTCTGTCAAAAATGAATCCGAGTCTATTGTCAATGGTAAAACAATAAACAACCCGGCAACATGGTGTAGGTGTGGTCAGTGGGCGGGATTAGTTAATCCACCATGTATTAATATGAGTATTAAGGGGATTAAGAGCTACATAGATGCTGAATGACTGACTGTTCTAGAAACTATAATGAAGTTCACCAGTCAGTCACCTTGTCAGTTCCTACATCTGTACGATCGGCCTGTACAGCCTGTGTACGTCTGGAAGAAGTACAGGAAATAAATCACCCTTTAGCTACACTTTATCTCAAGTGATAATCACAACATGAAAAATGAGCAGCCTGAAGCAGAAGACACGTGTTGGACCACAGATGGCCCCAGCACCACACAGGGCTGATTCTGTCATGTTCTCTCTGGTAACAGAGAGACACAAATGTTGTTGCTGGCATGAGTCCATGAGCCGGGAACAAGACGAGCCAGGATAAACCCGACAGTTCCACGGCCCTCTGTGCATGAACCCCCTCAAGGCTGAGGAAGAAAGTGTTCCAAAACCACAGAGCCGCGGGACAACAAAGTGCTCACCGTGAAGGCTGGAGGCTAAAAGGCTAACGACTGATGAGCTGGAGGACTATTCATTCAGAGGAAGTAGAAAAGCTGACACGTTAGAATGAACGTTACACGTGTGTCTGTGCTCACACAGACATTTGTTG